CAAATGTAGCAATAAAAGAGAGAGTGAACCTTACTTTATTATATATATATATATATATATAATTAATTCCTTTTATTTTCCGTGCCATTTGTTTATAACTTATGGTGTAATTAAATTTTGTATTGAATGATTGTCTTAAACATTTACTTTTGTATATATATTTAAAAAAAATAAAGGACTTAAATGTTTTTCCACCAATAAGGAGAGAGTAAAACTTTACTTTTATATATATGATTATTTTGATGTGTTATACTGAGTAGCTGCTGGTCAAACATTCATAAATATTTTTAGTTTCATTTTTTATTCATTAAATTATAGTTTGACAAATATTGATTTAATAGTGAATAATAAAATCTTATGTGTATTAATAGAAATAATTTGATGGGAATTTATTTTAATGATGTGTCATGCCGAGTACATGCTAGTTAATCATTCTTAAATATTTTTATTTTTATTTTATCCAATAAATTACAGCTTGAAAAATAATAATAAACTATAATATCTAATTAAGTCTTAATATCTAATATATTTTTCCCTTTCATGATAACTATCTATCAACTTATTTTAAAATATTGGATGATAATTATGTCACGTTGTGTTTAAAAGGAATCACAATTTCAAAACATTTCCATTCTCTTATTTTTTGTTAATTTGAATGATGTTAGATATGGTCTTTGTTCTTAGATAAAGTGATAATGAAAACTTAAAGTTTATAAAACCATAAAACTTTATTATAGCACACAAAAGAAAGTGAATGCCAAATTATCGAAAAAGAAAACAAAATGTAGCAAAAACAAATACATAAATAAAGAACAATAAAATTTGATAGTTTGATCACCATCATTTTCAATTGCTACTATGCCCCTCCTCGGCCACCGCATCACCACTACTGCTTCCACCAGTTGCTCCAATGCTGCCTTGAGACTTAGACATCATTGCAATAAAACGATGTTCTTCTATCTGAGGCTGCATCCACGTCACGGGAATGTGATTCCTGAATCTCTCATACCAAGCGTTGCCATTTTTATGAATTTGGTTTGGACCATGTGAAGGGTGCCTAGGGTTCAGAGCATTTGGAGTGTTCATTGGGTTCCAAGCATATGGAGTGTGCATAGGGCTCAGATCAGGATATGCAACGTTTATAGGTAAAGGAAGGGGAAAGAGTGAATTGAGATGCGTTTCAATTAGAGACAACTCACTGTCACTCCACTCCATGGTTGGCTGAACCAAAAATGAATATGTTAGTACTCATACAAATAATATACTATACAATACATTTTAAAGTATACATCTATTACCATGTTTGGCTGAACATGTTTAGGAATATAGTTTTGTTGAGGGAAACATGTCAAGAAAGAAAATAATAGATCAATGTCACAAGATAGCTTATATAAAAAACCAAAAATATTGGCGGATCTATGATTTGTAATTTTAGAAATTCATAATAACAATTATAAATTTCTCATGCAAGAATCTCCTCCTAATTCGTTTAAATAATCACATATATGTTGGGCAAATTTCGCCGACATAAATATAATAGAAAACCAAAGATGTCTTAGAACCCAATAAGACAGAAAACTAAATTCCATCAATAATACATTCGCAAAAAAAAAAACAAAAAAACAAGACAAGACAAAATATTACGAATCTGCAACAAATAGAAGAGGGATGCATGTAATATGTAACTAAAATCAACATAAACAAATCAAATAAAAATTGATTTAATCTTTTGATGCTCTTTCATAAATAAAAAAATTAAGAAAATATTACCGAAATGATACATGTGGGTACATGGAATCTTAACAACATCACCATTGTTAGCTAATGGCTCACGACAAACTGTACAATTTTCAACATCAACTGGTTTGGTTTCCTTAAAACCACTCTCTAAACTCATAGCGATTGTCTACTCTTATGTAAAGGTAAAACTAATCTCAAAATATATTAAGAGAACTGAGAAGAAAATTCTAGCTTATATAGATGGCCAAGTACTGGTTGATACAAATACTTTTTAGCCACCTGTTAATATTATTCTCATAGTCCAAGATATCTATTAAATACTAATTAATTTTTTCTAGTAAGATAGTTAAGACTTATGCTTTGACCTTTAAAATTCTCAATATTCTTATGTTCTTTTTAATATGTTTTAGTTGTTACAAAGACTACCAAAACAAGATGACCATTAAAAATATAGGGTTTGTACTAAATTAGTTTCTTATCTTAAATATCAAGCAAGTATAACATATATTTAAAATATTGCGCGCCAATTATTTGTATCTAACGACTAGTCTGTTAAATATTTAAATTGGTATGTCAAATATATCGATAAATGGCAATTGTTTAAGGTATTTTACGCTAACTATACCTAATGAGTATTGTAACAATAATTTGAAATGAATATCTAACATATATAGAAAAAACAAATAATGATTTTTTACAATAGTTCGCGCCAATATTTAAACTTGTTCGCGCCAACTATATCTAACAATTTTTGTAAGCTCAGTATCTTAAAGTAAATTAAAATAAAATACCTAACCAATTATTTACTGAAAAAAAAGATTACTTATATTATCTAATATTTTTCTTTTCTATATGTTTATTACATAGACTACGAAGCTAAGATGATGAGATTTTTAAAATATATATTTTATACTAAACTAGCTTCCAATCTTAAATACCAAAGCAAGTATAACAGATATTTCAAATATTGCACGCCAATTATATGTATCTAACAACTTTAGTTTGTTAATATATAAGTGTATCCAAGTTAAAACAAATCCTAAAAAGACATAGCCAATGTGCTAAGTTGTACTACAATTGGCTGATACATGTTCAAGATCATATTCAAGTTAAACCCTAATATTGGTCAAAACCCGTGATTTGGTCCAATACTAAACCCCATTTTTTTTTTTCCCCAAAAAGTTCATCTTTTATATATTAATCAAACTACAGCTGCTTCCATCAATGGAGAAACCATTTTGGAGAGTCAAAGTACTTATTACATCAAACGTTAAAAGATAACAACTTTAAAGTAGAACTACCCCTGCAAGTTACATGATACTGAAGTAAGACCATCCTCATATCTTGCACAATAAGACCAACCATCCAATGAAGATCATTGCATCTGGACTTAGAGCATACATCATAAGCTTGTGTTATGAGTGAGTCTTACACACCATATCACTGTCTTCAAAAAATTTCAGCCAAAGGTCTATCTGAATTTCTTCCACGACCTTTATCCTTCATCACGATAACAAGAACCATGGCACCAAAAGGTGCATCAACGACTCACTACCTTATTCTACAAGGTGGAGATTATTGTTTAAGCAAACTAAGAAAACTTAACTCAAAAGGTGAAATCTCAGAGAGAAGAGTCTGATAATCTCTGAGATTGTTAACTTGTTACTAGACTTTCATGTAGGCTCATGATCAACCGAATAGAACCTCACTCCCGGATCCTTCCTACAATGACGAGTATTTCTTGCAGGCTCTACTTGAATCTGCTTTCCTTTCTTTCGTTTAGAGTTCTCTCCTATTTCAAACGTTCCTTTTGCTTTCACTCCCTCAGACACATTAAAGGCAGGTGGGACTTGCACGGAGGATAGCTTAAGGACTGGAAACTTTGGAAAGGATTAGCAGCTAGAAACTCCTCCAAATTAGGCTCAGGAGTAGAAGGTCTCGGTGGCTGGGATATAGGAGAGTATGAAGATAACTCAGAACTTTGATATGAATGACTCTCTTCATGTAAGTGGTGAGTATTGGAGCCTCCTCCTTCTTCTCAAACAGGAGCCACTGGAATATCTAGGATGTCGTCATGAAAACCCGAGGGAGCAAGAAAAGGGCAGTGATTAGTTTCATGATTGATGCGACAACAATTGGTACATATCCTTCTGAGTTTTCATACTCAAAACCAATCATGGCACCTTCCCCTGATTCAAATCTTACCTTTCTAAAAAACCGAAGTCGATCTGTAATTTCAATTCTTATCTGAACTCTGATAAACTCAATTTGTGTAGTAGTCTCTTCATTGAAATCCAGATTAACAACTTCACCAAGAGTATTAGCAATGAACCGAACGACTGTTTCAGATACATAAGGCAAAGGGATACCTCTTACCTGTACCCAAAGGTCAATAAAAGTAAGGAAATCATCCCTAGGAAAATCTGCCCACCTTTGTAAAGCAACAAACCAGTCATTAAACACCCAAGGGCCTCTTCTAAGTACTGCAGTCAAGTCAGCTTCTGAACTGAACAAAAACTGTATATATCTGTCAAAACCCCATTTATAAAGTTTAAGTCATACGTTTGTTTAGATATTTTTCTAACTAGGAGTCTAATTGAGTCAATATTCAACTATTGCATATTTTAATCTTTTTTCCTTTTTAAAGGTATTTCTATTTTAATATAAATTAAAGTAAATCTAACATTTTCTTCATGATAACTATTTTTTTATCAACGTATTTTAAAACATTGGATGATAATTCTTTTTAAAAAAAATCCGGTCACAGTTTTAGTTTTCTACCATTCATTTTTTTGTCAATTTGAGTTATGTTAGATATTGTCTTTGTTGCTAAAATCGACCAACATAACCTCAACTAATAAATCTATCAAAATAAATCAAGCAGAATGCAAGATCTAAACAGATCTGCTTGCAGATCATACATTTAAAACGTATAACAAGCTAACCAAAACTAAGGTATGATTTATACCGAGTATAAAATCATAACCATGCACAAATTAAAAAAAATGAATAAAAATTTAATCGTGAAGTATTACACGATCGGAATCACAATGTCTATAATATTTATGTTCTATAAACATAAAATAAAATAATAGAAAAATTACTTACCTTTTAAAAGCTCTAGCGGTAAAGAGATCGTATATATTACATCGTGTATAAAACATAACCTAAATAAAATTCTAATATTATATTATATATATATATATATACATGTATATTACTATGTATATAGCAAATGATTAGTTTGAGAGAGGAGTACGAGAGTAGAGAGAATTGTATAAACAACTACACTTCTTCATGTCTTACTTCTTCACAACAACAACAACGATCATATATATAGTACATGTAATATTAATATTATACTAATACTTGGGGAAGAAGCAAAGAGAAGATAGACATTATCCATATTATATGGATAGAGACAAGTGTTAGATAATCACCATTGTAATTATCTATTTATAATAATCTTGAATTAAATATGTATGACTTTATTCGTTTTATCAATTCTTTATAATAACTAATTAGGCTTCTGGACCTCTCATCAAATTGTTAATGGGTTTATATATCCACTTATTTTATTGATTTTTTTGTTGGTTAACGGGTTATAAAGATGACATACGTTGACCCGACATGCTTTCGGACGGGTTCTTAAATACGCGCGGATCCATGGGTGTGTGTTTTTTATAAAAAACTCGTGGACATAATTACGCCTATTGATTTCAATTAAGTGTCTTTTTTATGCATAACTGAAATCAAATTCAATGATTTGAAGGTTAATTTTGTCCAAAGTTCAATTTGTACTTCTCTTTTAATTATAAAAAAAAATTGGAACGACGACCTATTTCCCCCTCGGAACTTTCGTATACTTTCTTTTATTAGCTAAGCTTGTAAATATCATTAGAAAGATTAGGGTCAAAAACAAAATTACAATACTTATAAAAACAAAATGGCATGGAACGCGAGTTGCGATATAAAGAAGATATGTTTAAACATGCCAAAGATCAAACTAGCTAGTAATGTAAAAATTCATAGATCATAACTCATTCGATTGCACACTTGAGACAAGACAAATGACTACAGTGGCTTTCAATTCGTCCTTGGTCTGCTAGTGCTTCAGCAAGTATGAGATTCCCAAAAGTTGAAAATTCTGCAAAGTTCATAGCATGTAATAATAGATTCTTGTAAACTAAACTTGTTTCAATACATATTAATTAAAGAAATGTTTTTATACCTATATTTTACATACCATTTTCAGTGATGTAAGTAAGTGGGTTTGCGTAATTATCTTTGATATAGTTTAGAATTTGACGAAATCCTAAATAATCACTCTGTAAAAAAAACTGTTTGAATTAGTGATACAATTTTTGTATAATTATGAACTCTTTTTTTACATTTAAAATAAAAAACTATTCATACTCACTTGAACACCAATTAGAATCCCACCACGAGAAGCTGCTTATAAACAAAAAAAAAAAAAAATAGTTTACGTAGACAATGCATGCATGCAGATATTACTAATTAATATGATATAGAAAGTGATGGAGAAGAGTAAGATATACTGCTAAAATTGGCTCTTGCATCAGTTTGGATGGTTGGGGGTGTCAAAATGGGTTGCAATGAATCAGTTGCATATTGTGTGAGGTAATAATTTAAACCTAGAAAATCCATTGATCCTTTAACCAATTGAGATTCTAAAGGTGTAAATCTTGGCGATCTTTTTCCCAAAACATCTTTCATGATCTTTGGATAATCTCCATACACAAGAGGATCCAAGAACCATCCAACTATAAAATCAAATGCTCACCGTGCAGCCATCTCACTACAAAAAAATGACTATATTGTATCACTTAAATTGTATCATAAATTTAAGTGATCTTATTTTAAATTACCTTTTAATAAATGAAGCAAATATAAATAATTTAACATCAATTACATTATTGATGCTAATATTAACTAATTTTCATCAATTATTTAAAACTGATTCAATTTCTAGTAGATTGTATCACTTTAAAAAAATTGATGTAAAATACATATTTACATCATTTAGATAATTGATGTATGTATTTTTTTGATAAAATCGATTTTTTAAATGATACAACATAAAAATGTGATGCTAAAATAAATTATACTAGGGATGGACCCGCACATACGTGCGGGGTTAATTTCAAAAGTTTGTATTACATACGTGCGTGCAGGGTTGATTTCAATATATTACATATGTGCAAGATAAAGTTTGTAAACGTATTTTTAAGTAATGTTATTTAATTCATAATCAGAAGAATTTGTATCAGTTTCATGTCGTTTTTAATTCGATTTAGATAAAAAAATTATCAGATTTGTTTTTGTTAAGTTAAGAACATTACATAAAAGAAAATTAGTAAAAAAAAAAGTCACAAAAAGTGACTATTTCATAACCGTAATGTCCCATCTATATCATGTTTTCCATCTTATAATCATGGTTTTAAAAATCATTTGAGATTATATATTTTAGTCTAACATATAAAAGAATAGGTAATAGTTTCGGAGCCACAAATACGTTTGCTTTGTTTTCTTCAAATTTTTGAATGTATGAAATAATAATCGCTTTAGATCGACATGATAGCGGACCCGGAGAAAGTGTAAACCGGATTAGTGATAATCTAAATTTCTATGTAAATCGTGAACTATCAAACCAGGTAAAAACAACATAAAACACTAAAACTTCTTGAAACAAATGACCTAAATATAGTTGTCAAGCGAGTCAAACTCGTCCAATATGTCTAGCCTGCAACGAACTACAATATTTTAACCCGCAAAAACCCGTTCTTCGAAATTCGCATGAGTAAATAGTATATATGTATCTC